TTGCCAATGTCAACACTACTTCTACTACCCAGCCATCGCCACACTCCAGGATGCTTTCTGGACCCGCGCCGCTTGCGGCCGCGCAACACATCATAAGACACTAAAAACCCATCTGCCGGAATTGTAGTACCATATTTGATAGGGTTCAAATATGGTAACACCTACAAGGGTGATTAGAGGTCGCCCCAAAAGCCTCTATCCCTCTAGGAAAGACTGGCAAGCTACCGAGAGTATTCCGCCCGCACGGAAGAGCCTGGCAAGCTATCCGCTGTGTATTCGATATGCCAAAACCAGTAACTACAACTGGTTTCATTGACCTGACCCTGAAGGCTTCACCGACATGGCAGCACTGAGAAGGATGAGAAAGGAGAGGCCGACAAAATCTCAAGGCCGACGTAGGCTGCCACAACGAAGGACGACAAAAATGATCGTCTGTACTTTCAATGCACGTATGCTAGCATCAGATGCATCCATCGAGGACCTGATGGTACAAGCGCGAATGATCAAGTACGACATCATTGGTCTGACCGAGACAAGAAGGCACGAATCTCACCATGCCGTTTTCGACACTGGAGAAGAATTGTTCCTCGGAACATGCGATAAAAGAGGTGTTGGAGGCGTCGGTGTCCTTGTCAACACAAACTTGGCCAAGAGCATTGTTTCATTCGAATGCCTAACAACCCGAATCGGACGTTTACATTTGAACAGATGTGACTCACTGCCTGCAGTTTCTATCTTCGTTGTCTACGCACCAACATATCATGAGGAAAGAGAAATCGAGAAGTTCTACATGGAGCTAGAGAAGTTCTATAAAGAAGACCACACCTTCTACAAGATCATCGTGGGTGATTTTAATGCCAAGATAGGACCGAGAAGATCAGCTGAAGAACTTCACATCGGGACCCATGGCCTAGAATGGAACGAACAGGGTGAGAGACTGTCTGAGTTCATCATGTCGACCAAGACCATTCATGGTAACTCACAGTTCCAGAAGGCAGAATCTAAATGATGGACATGGGAGTCTCCCGGTGGACAATTCCACAACGAAATAGACCACATCATATTCAATCGACAGTTTTGCCTGACTGATGTGCTGTTGTCCCAAAATTTCGAACGGGATCGGACCACCGTCTCCTTCGTGCAAAATTCTACTTCACAGAGCGGGGAGAAAGGGCTGCAAATTTCAAAAAGAGAACTCCCAGAATGACCACCAACTGGGAACTCTTTGGTACTATTGCGGCAACATGGGAAGATGCCATTGTTGACAACATTGACGAGGAATACGATCGACTGGTTCAGCACCTCCATGAATGTGCGAGGAACGCCAAGAGAGAGATAGCCACAAAAAATCGCCTATCTTCGAAAACTCTTGAGCTAATTCGCCAGCGTGGTTTGGCGCATGCCTCAGGCAACCGCAAGCTAACGTCCGAGCTCGCAAAGCAGTGCAGTGATGCGATCAAGGAAGACCTCAAAGAGAGAAGAGCAGAAGTACTGGTAGATGCGGCAGAAGCCGGAAAAGTATTCGTAACGCCCGCCTGTCCTTCGCCAACTACAAGACCAAGATGACTGCCCTCTGACGTCCTGATGGATCCATCACATCCTCCAGAACGGCAATAGAGAAGATTATCCATGACTTCTACTCAAATCTCTTTGATAGCCATGTCCACTTGCCGACATACCAAATTCCACAGGATGGATATGTCGTTCCCAACGTTCTCCCTTCCGAAATCCGACACGCCATTTCGTCGGTAAAGAAACAAACAGCACCCGGCCCAGACAAGTTCAGACCTGAACACCTGAAGAACCTGCCGTCAGTACTCATCAATACACTGACTGGGCTCTTCACTCGCTACCTATCTGAATGCAAGGTTCCACCCCAATGGAAAACCAGCAGGACCGTTCTACTGTTCAAGAAGGGAGACATCCATATAAAGTCACATAACAGAAAAATTATAAGTGAACTGTGATGAAGCAAAATATAAAGCAATATGGCAGATAAAAATGTTCTGCCAGTCATTGAACATAGAATATAAACAATATCAATTCTAGGGGGAAATATGATGTCTAAAGCACAACAATAGAAAAAGAATTGTTCTACGTCATGACTGTGTAGAGAAATGAAGATTCTGTTGCACTGTTCTGGATGATTAAATAGGAAACTAGTAGGTACATTCACTAATGCATGATGTCATTACGGCTACAAGATTCTTCCACTTCACAAAATCTGTGTCCAAACACAGTGCTTTTATGCAAGACCCACATGAACACATGAGTACCTGTTTTCACATATCAAAAGAAGCCAAAAGATTATATTAATGTTATATCTAAAGATAAAAAAGCAAGTATTGGACTCAGTAAAATTTTGTAGAGGACATGTGTAGGATAACATTGGTTTGTCCTTTCTCCCTTGCCACAGGGAGCTTAGGTTTATCGGGTTACACCCATCACAGTACTCCCTAGTCACTCCCATTCCTCTGTTTATCTGTAAAGTCTTCTCTGTGCTCTCCTCCCAAGCCAATGAATCACCTTTTCTCCCTAATAAGATTCTGCTAGCTTGTAAGATAAGATCCTTCTAAGGACACTGGACTTGTATTTTAAGTTATGTCTTTTGCATAGTTTACCTTAAAGCAATGTCCTTTCTGTATGGACACAGGAAGACAGTTAATATTATGCTTTGTAACTTGGGAGTTGATTGACTCCAAATAACATTTACTCCTGGGCATCTTCTTTCTTGACTCAGTTGCCCTTAGTTCCTAGCACCCCCAAAGCAGGGTCCCAATGAGGGATTTAATGGACCCAGGACAAGCTGTGAGCTACCCTAGCATCGAAATGGGCCAGGCCAAAGCGCCACAATACTCAACTATAAGTTGAGGGCATGATCATGAACAAATGCTGTCATGATCCAAAAGTAAGTAAAGATGAGACTAGGACCCTGCCGGGGCTAGGAAGACTAACCTGGCCTGAGGACTGTGGAATATATAGTGAGATGTCCTCAGGAAGAACCAAACTGTAAATTTATATCTCTTGCTGTACTCATACATTGTAGCCTGCCCACAGGGCAGAGTCTGGCAAACTCCCCGTGGCATACTAAATATGCCAAATACCAGTAACAATGATGGGTCTCATTCTCCTAAAGAGCCTTGAATATAATCTCCGGGCTAGGATGAAAGAGACGTTACTGGGGCCTGCTCAAGGCAATCGACGAATAACAGGATGATGAATGAATGAATGAACTCATACAGAATGACATTGCTAGAAATATTGGAAGTTAGATTTACTACAACTATTTATGTAGATTACTAGCTGAGGAAAGAACACACCCTTGTTGGGATCCCACCCTTGAGCAGATCTCCTAGTAATCTGGAATAATCTCTTTAGATGAGATTTTATCCTTGAGTTAACTCCTTGAGGAGTGGTCTTATCTCTCTTTGTTGATTTGCTGACGTTCAACCCACCTCTGTGTCACTGCCCTATGTGCTTGCTATATAAACTAAGACTATAAGTGGGGGCTTGGGCTCTAGAGAACAGAGACCGAGGCTCAGGCAGAGGCTCAGGCTGAGGCGCGGGCTCAGGCTCCAGAGGGCAGTCAGAGGTGAGAGTGAAGATTGGAATAAGCTACAATTGATACTGACTAGCCTGGCCCTCATTCCTTCCTTCGTCTGCCCATCGTCATCAACCTCCCTGGGGTGGGGGAAGCGGCGTGAGACCACCTAACGCAGGCGGAAAGAGAGATAGAGTGCCAACGGACTTTTGAAAACACAGAGACGTGAGTGAATCAAAATTATTCCTTCCCAAGAATTGGCTTTTGTAAGCTATGTATTTTGATATCTACTTTTTACTATATTTTAGTGTTACCTTAGACTTCATGTGCAATTGAAATGATCTGATAGGTTATTTTGATAAAAATTTATTTTTATATAATAAATAGTAACTTTTTCTTCACTTTAGCTTGTTGCATCTTATAGGAGGATTCATAGGAAACTTCTGCTTTCAAAAAATAGAGGAAGCCTGTCATTTAAACATACTGACTAGTGGGCATCCTGAGGTACTTGCTCAAGGTGAAGAGGGTGAGGAGAGATGCTGAAAGCCAGAAGGTATGATATTCTAATATGAATTAACTGTTCTCAGCCCTGTATCCTCAGTTAAGTTCCCATCTTCTCTCTATCACTGCTCTCCTTTGCTCTCAAATACTAAGTGTGAGCCAAGGTAAATAGAGCAGGCTGTCATAGATCAGTAAATGCAAAGATGAGAGTTAGCCACTACCAAGCATTTGAGCTAAGGAAATACCTAATAGAAAGGGATTTTAGTTAATAATCAGGAGAAGCAAGTTGGAGAAAACAATTAAAAAAATTTCCAAACCATTGTTGTTTTGGTCTGCATCTCCCTGATTATTAATGATGTAGAGCATTTTTTCATGTGCTTTTTTGCATTTCGGATTTCTTCTTTGAGAAAGTTTCTGTTCATTTCGTCGCTCCATTTTTGATGGGGTTGGATGTTTTCTTCTTGTGGAGTTCAACGAGTACTTTGTATATTCTTGATATCAACCCTTGTTGGATGGATATTGGGTGAATATCCTTTCCCATTCTGTAGACTGTCTTTGTATTTTGGTCACTGTTTCTTTTGAGGTGCAGAAGCTTCTTAGTTTAAGATAGTCCCATTTGTCTATCTGTTTTCACTTGCTTGGCCAGTGGCATGACATCTTTAAAGATACCATTAGCTTCAATGTCATGGAGGGTTTTGCCAACTTTGTCTTCAATGTACCTTATGGATTCCGGTCTGACATTAAGGTCTTTAATCCATAAGAACAAAAGCAACCAGTGCTGGCACGGATGTGGTGAGAAAGGGACCCTCCTTCACTGCTGGTGGGAATGCTGACTAGTTCAGCCCTTTTGGAAAATAGTATGGACGATTCTCAAAAAATTAGAAATTAACCGGGCATGAAATGGCTAGCTTGGAGCGCCATGCTTGGCCACGCTGAGAGCCCGGGAGGCCACTCCGCGATGTTCCATATCGAGGGCTTTGTGCCAAAGCTGGACCCCGAGGAGATGAAACGGAAGATGTACGAGGATGGGATCTCCTCCGTACGGCACTTCCTCATCTACATGGTTCTGCTACGAGTCACTCCTTTTATCCTAAAGAAGCTGGACACATATGAAGGCTGGTCATCACATGTGAATGCACGATATGAAGAACCTGATTACAGTTTCTCCTTCTGTCTGCAAATGAGTAGGCCCAGAAAGATGTAGGAGACTCTTTGATTGAATGGACCTAAAAATTCTACTTGTTAAGAAACAAGTTTGACTCTGGTGACTGACCTTTATAGCTGAAACAAAACTATTTTCATTCATTCATTCATTCATCCTGTTATTCGTTGATTGCCTCAAGCAGGCCCCAGTAACGTCTCTTTTATCCTAGCCCTGAGATTATATTCAAGGCTGTTTAGGAGAATGAGATCCATCATTGTTACTGGTATTTGGCATATTTGGTACGCCACGGGGAGTTTGCCAGACTCTGCCCTGTGGGCAGGCTACATTCGATAGCCTGCAAGTTTGTCCAAAGTAGGAATGAGATAATAAGATGTCATAAAAAGATGTCCTGATAAGATGTCGCGCAGCCGCGAATGTGGCTGTGCGGTTCCAGGAGCTGGATTTATAGTCTCTGAGTCTTAGCCGTTGATGGGATTACACGGCGCCAGGGGGCCAGGTGGTGGGTGTGACCCCCGCCTACTGGAATTTGGAGGATCTGGGTGGAGGATGCTCGACTCCAATCTGAGTAGGCTTGGAGATCTCGGCCCCAGAACCCGCGTGGCTTTGTCCCTCTGCCAGTACCTTCATGTGTGCAGAGAGTGATCTCAGCATGGTGGTGGCTGGTCCTGGAAGTCTTCGGCTGCCAGTGCCCTGGTCAGGGCGGAGAGGAAAGCTCAACCCGCTCCCCTCCAAGGGAGCCCAGCGAGGAACAGCCAGGCGCAGGGGCAGGAGACTGCACTGGTCTCGTCTGGGAGCTGGATTTTATAGTCTCTGACTCTTGGCCGTTGATGGGATTACACGGCGCCAGGGGGCCAGGTGGTGGGTGTGACCCCAGCCTACTGGAATTTGGAGGATCTGGGTGGAGGATGCTCGACTCCAATCCGAGTAGGCTTGGAGATCTCGGCCCCGGAACCCGCGTGGCTTTGTCCCTCTGCCAGTACCTTCATGTGTGCGGAGAGTGGTCTCAGCATGGTGGTGGCTGGTCCTGGAACTATTTGGAACATATAAAAAGATATTTTGTGGTCCTAGAACGCCCTTATGCCGGTGATATTCAGCCTCTGTCAATGTTGGTGTAAGGGTAAATAATGGCAAATTCCCTTTTCTAGCAAGTATCAGTTATAAGGGAATTATGTATGGGGTGACACTGTCTTGTCATTTCTGGTCCCATTTTCACTGCTGTGTGTTGAAGAATGTCTTACAGTGAGTTGTTTTATGGAAGCCAGCACACAACCACAATGACATTTAGGCACAGGACCATTAGTCTATATTTTTAATAAATGTATTAATTAAGAAAAAAATTAGAAATTGAGCTCCCATTTGACCCAGCAATACCACTCCTGGGAATATATCTCAGAGAGGGAAAAAAAGTATAGTCAAAGTGACATCTGTACTTGTTTGTTCATTGCAGCACTGTTTGCAATAACCAGAATCTGGAAAAAACCCGAGTGCCCGAGAACAGATGACTGGTTGAAGAAACTTTAGTACATCTACACAATGGAGTACTATGTAGCCGTTAGAAAAGATGAAGTCATGAAATTTACATACAAGTGGTACTACATGGAAAGTATCATGCTAAACGAAATGAGTCAGAAAGAGAGGGACAGACATAAAAAGATTGCATTCATCTAGGGACATTAGAGTAACAAAATAGGAGACTAACACCCAAAAGTGGCCAAGATTAGTACCAGGAATTTTGTTCCATGGCTTGGAGGCCAGCCACACATGCTAGGGGAAAAGGAGCTCAGATAGAGAAGGGAGAACCAAATAAAGGGTGTTGGGAGGATCCACCCAGGATGGGAGAAGCATGCTGAAAGTAGACTATAGACCGAACATGATTGCCACTCAATACCTCTTTTGCAAACCACAACACCTAAAAGGAGAGAGAGAACAAAAGGGAATACCCTGCCACAGAGGCAGGGTGGGATGGGGGGATGGGGGCTGGAGGGATACTGGGCCCCTTGGTGGTGGAAAATGGGCACTGGTGGAGGGATGGGTGTTTGATCATTGTACAATTGAAACCCAAGCACAAAAATTTGTAAATCTACAACTGTACCTCATGGTGTTTCACTAACAAAAATTTTTTAAAAATGTAAATGATGGAGGATGCAATTAAATGATCCATATACTCCGTAATTCACATAATACATAAAGGTCTGTTCACTTGACTCATCTTCATCATCGGAGCCAGTCTGTTCCTTTATAACAAGTTTTTTAGCAAAATCTTTTTAAAAAATAAATAAAAGAAAACCTTTTTATTCTGTTGAGACGGAAGCGGTCATTGAAGCCCTACCCAATCAGGGCATTCAAGTCCAATACATCAGGATCCTCCGTGAGCTGTATTGCGGATTCACTACCAGGATCTCACCATTCTACAAAGAAGTGATCGTTGATGTCAAGAGAGGGGTGCGGCAGGGTGATACCATTTCACCGAAACTCTTCAGTGCCACCCTTGAGAACATCATGCGACGACTGGAATGGGAAGGAATGGGAGTGAAGATAGATGGTCGGCAACTACACCACCTCCGCTTTGCTGATGACATTGTTTTAATAACACCAAACATCAGCCAAGCGGCACAAATGCTGGCCGACTTTGACCATGAGTGTGGAAAGGTAGGACTACAGCTGAATCTTACGAAGACAATGTTTATGAGAAACAGCCTTGTTCCTGACGCCCCATTTGCTCTCAATGGAACGACCATCTCCGAATGCAATAGCTATGTGTACCTAGGTTGAGAGGTCAACATGACAAATGACCTGGCACCCGAGCTGTGCAGGAGGAAGAGAGCAGCTTGGAACGCCTTCAAGAAATAGCTAAGAGGACGAAGAACCTCCGGCTCCAGGCACATCTCTTTGATTCCACTGTTCTTCCTGCATTAACATATGCCTCAGAGACCTGGGCCCTACGCAAAATTCAGGTCTCCCAAAGAAGAATAGAAAGAGCTATGCTTGGAATGTCACGTTTCACTCAAATGAGAGAACGAATCCGGAGTTCTGACATCCGTCGACGATCAAGAATCAGGGACGCTGTCTCCTTTGCCAAGGTGTCGAAAATCAGATGGGCTTGTCACGTAATGAGATTTAAAGACGACCGCTGGACTAGAGCTGTTACTGACTGGATTCCACAGGATGTCAAAAGACCGCGTGGCCGCCCACCTTCCAGATGGTCAGACTTCTTCGTCAAGATCATGAACGATCGGTTTGAGGCCCTTCATGTTCCCGGAGCGAACAGATGCCATTGGGCTACACTAGCACATGACAGGACAAATGGAGACGTTACTGGCGCCCGCTCGAGCAAATCAACGACTAATGGTTAGTTAAGTGATTAAGTGATAAGTGAAGTAAATGATGGAGAATGGGCACTGGTGGAGGGGTGGGTTACTAGATCATTGTATAACTGAAACTCAAGCACAAAAATTTGTAAGTCTACAACTGTACCTCATGGTGTTTCATTAATAAAAAATTTTTTAAATGTGGTGGTGTAATTTTAATGTATGTTTAAGTCATATTGCATAACCCTCACCATCCCTATAACATAATTTCCTTTCACATAATTTAGGATACTGTCACATTACGTGTTCTTCTTCCTCAAAGTATCTATTATTGCATAGCTCTACACTGAAAGGCATCTGGGAATAATAGTTTTGCATTTTCCTAAAATTGTTTCATATGGAATTGGAGACCCTGAATATCACTAGCATTCAAAGTTTGTTACAGATAAAGAATACTTTTGGAGATGGGTTTAAATGAATTGTGGAAGTAGATATTAAATGCAAAGTTGAGTTAAATGCAATGCATCCTGAACAGTGAAGAATATAACTAGAGCTTTGACATACTAGGGGACTTGGTTTACCAATTCTAACCCAGCAGCCACAAGCATTTTCTTTATCTGGATTCTCCAACACAAGATATAGCAAGACGATATCCATGGACAATACAATTAGGACAAACATGATCAGAATTTCCAATACTCACTAGTGTCTTCACCATCTACATGGGCATGGAAAAGCATTAAAAACCCAAGATCCCATCAATATGAAAGAATATATAGGCATCACAGTTAAAATGAAACTCCATTACACGATCTCTTGATTCTTAATGTTATCTCCTTACATATCCCAGAGAATACTGGTTTCTAGCTATTGTGGATTTCCAGTTTGCTTCAGTCTACACATACAACACTGGGGGTAGGGTGGGGGTTTGAGTATTTAATTTATTGAGTTTGACAAAGGGAAAAATATGCCAGACAATAAATAGATGTAAATGGAGAGAAGAAATATACCAAAAAGTAGAGACAAAGACATTAAAACCAGCCCAAAGAGATTATAATGGCAAACTTCTAGACGAGAACATTTGTCTTTGTCATATTCTCCCCTCTGTCCAAAGGCGTAAAGATTAGGGCAAGTTCCTCATTTTGACCTTACCTTATTTAATTTTATAGACAGATGAAATATGCCTCAGGGAACCAATCTACAAGGGGATTTTATTGCTCATTCTGGAATCCACTAATATTCAGCCTATCCTTTTTCTTTCTCTATACAACCCCTTCTAAGGAGTTGGAGAAAGAATACAGTAGGCGCTTACCTTGCATGCCACCAGCCCAGGTTTGATCCATGTATGGTCTCCCAAGTATTTCCTGGATTGACCTGAGCTCAGAGCACTTGAGTGGCCCATGAATGAGTGACAGTGGAACTTAACCTCCTCAGTTATAACATTTCAAAGGTTGACATGTTCACATAGCCCTTTGGTGCCACTTTGAAAGTAGAGGGGTGACAGAAAGGGTAAGTGGCAAAATCTGAACTGTCTTCTAAATTCAATATTAATGACTCAGAGGTATTTAACTTTTTTGTGTTCACAAATCCTTTTAAAGATCTGGTATGAAAGTGAACTCAATAGTGAACTCAAACTCAACATCTTCTTGTATGTTCACAGCATGTAGAACTACTTAAATTTGGTAATGCATAGTAGTGCTGTAAATCATGTATAGATCTACATTTTTAAAC